AAAATTAATACTGAAAAAGAAGCAATAGAAGATGGAAAAAATAAAGCCAAAAAAGGTAGAGTAAGTGGTTTAATCACTCAATTTAAAACCTTTCGAGATAAACCAGGGAGGAGGAGTTATCGAGAATTATTATTCATGCACAATATTTTAGGATGAATTAAAAAGTGAGAAAGTTTAAAAATAGATGCTACTTTTGATCCCACTGCTGAATTAGCCAAATTAGATGCTGCTGAAACCATTAATCAAGGTATTCTAGCTAAATATAATCATTGAGTAGGGTATGGTGCTCACTTTACGGAAAGGTTAGAGAACTGAAAAAAAGATGATGGCAAATACTTTAGTGAAGAGGCAGTAAAAATTTATCTGCAAAGTATCAAAGATTCTTTGGAGTCAGTGGGACGGGGATTAGATCCAGTAGAGCAAAATGAGTTAGATCAATTCACTTACTATATTGAGAATGGTGAAGTTCCTACAGAAAAGAGAATCCTACCCATGGACCTTAAAGCGGCCTTAGGAGTCAAAATTAATGTGTTTAGTTCTTTAGTCCAAAAATGAATCAATTATTCCCAAAATATTGATTTTAAAGTTAAGACTGATGAAATTAAAAATTTGGCTAACAAAGTTAATGCTCCGGGAGCTAAAGTTAAACCGAGTGAAATAGTTAAATACTGTAAAGAAACTCTCACTAAAAGGCCTGAATTAGTGGAAGATAATGATATTTGTGATCTTCCAGATGTTAAGGATAAAGATCGTGATTGATTAGATTGATTCTTTACTCGAGATCCGGAAGTAGTGGTGGAAACCATTGCTTTACAAGAATTAAAAGTGGATAGTAATCTTAAAACTCAAATCTTAAATGAAATGAAAGATTATAAAGATAGTAAAGATAAACTAATCTTGTTAAATCGAACTGTTTATGGAGATGGTCAAGAGTTTACTGAAGAAGGAATCATTAAATACTATGCTGAAAAGTTAGGAGGACAAAATCATGCTATGAAGAAGTATGAAAAGCCCTTTAAGGATCAGCAATCACCAGAACCTTTCTGAACTTGGAAGAATCCTGCTGCAATATTATCAGGACTAGTTTGAGCCTTTCTACAGAGGAAAAAGATTGCCACTTGATGAAACTCTCCTGTTGAACTAGAAGAAGAGGATGATGAAGAGGATGATGATTAATAATGATTTGATTAGTTATTTTGCCAGTCTTCTTTTCTTTCTTGGTTTATCATAAGTTGAGGTTAAGGTTCGTTTATGGTTTACTATTTTTTGTTCTTCTTGGTAAATTTCATAAGTAATTTTTTCTTGATCCAGATATTGCCGGAGAGTTTGGGTATTATTGATTTTAAAAATGTAAGGCGCAATTTTTTCTCCTTGTTCTTTTTTTAAAATGCTTCTAATAGTGCTGTAATTTTTGGGTTCCATGGTGGATTTAATGTAAATTAGTTTCATATTTATATTTTTATATAGGGATAATCCTATATTACTCCTGTTATGGTTTATATTCATCACATTATGGTATGATAAGGTGAGCATTAAAATTAACAAGCCCATAAGTTATGAATGAGCACCAAATTACTTTCAAAACGTCATCAGTCACACTGGTTGATTTTTAGCCACATCATAATCAGCCTCTCATTTATAAAATGTTCACTTTGTCTGGTTTTGTTGCAGCATGCCCCAATTATCATTTATCCACAATAAAATGAAGGACAAAATCGGGACTTTCATATCTACCGACGAAGGAAAGGATTCGAAGAGGAGATAACCAATCGAATGATCTGTTTCAATATCCCGAAAAAACAAATGAAGATAACGACGAATTTCTCGAAAACGTTGGACTTCTATTTAATGAGTCAAACGAAGATCAATTGGAAAGAATTCGCAATTGGATAAACATCAATAGTAAACCATCGGAGGTACAGTAAATCTTGTTATAAACTAGAAACAAAATTTTTGGGGGGCTACGCCCTTGCGTGGTTTATTAGGAAATTTGCGGCGGTGTACATACACTACCTGGACAAAAGTATCGGCCACCCTAACTTTATTAATTGCTCAAAAGTGTACATAATAATTGGGACTA